CACACAGCGCCTTCACGACATGGCGGCGGCAACAACAATACTACAGCGAGAATAAAAGTTATGCCTTCTTTCTTTGCGTGAACATTTGGGCGGTGTTATGCAAATCATCCCACATCGTGACGTAGACATGTGGGGCGGTGTTATAACGAGCCGTTTTAGGTAGGCGTGGTTAACTCTTAACTTTTATAAAGAATATCTCTTTGGATTTGAGACTTTAGTCTTTGCAACTTTACAGATCTTCTTAATGCACCAAGAGCTTGTAACACTCCAAAGAGAAAGGAAAAATTTAAATCACATCATATGACCCCTTTAATAGATTTATTTGTAGAATATTGACAAATATTTTTATTATTATTATTAATGCATAATGCTTTGTGTATTATTATAACAGATTATTAAATACTGCGATTGTTGCATTTAATTTTTATGCTTAGATTCACAAACAAACAATCATTTCACCTGTAAACAATGCCCTTTGATTGAAGAAAGAACAAGCCGATGGCAATTTCTGCAGCATAGAACCTGATGGTAAAAAAAAAAAAAAATTACTGATCTGACTCATGATTAAATCTAAATAATAATTTTGTTGGTTAGCATGGCATAGCATTAATATTTAAAACACATCAATAACCATAATTGATGACTACGAAGTTTGCTTTTATAAAATGGGAAAAATAAAATAATATTTTAAGCTTTTGTAATGTTTCTGAAAGATTTTGTGAAATTAAAAAGAACTGTTTTCTATTTTTATATATTTATAATAATAAAATGTCATTTATTCCTAAGATGGCAAAGCTGAATTTCCAGCAGCCATTAGTCCAGTCTTAAAATAATAATCTAGAATACTATTTTGTGCAATAAATAATTAAATGATAATTGTAACAAATAAAAAAAAACATTATTTCAATCATTTTGTCATTCTTTAACTGTTTTGTGTTTGTTTTTAGTAGTGAATACATACACAGCATGGGGTTCCTTAAATTTTCCCACTTGTTGTATTTGATACATCAAATCTCCACCGTTGATATACTCCATCACAAAGTAAAGACGGTCCTACAAACAACAACACAACTGATCATAGGTTTATAATGTGTTTTTCATATGTATGTGAATCTGCTTAGTACAGAGAGTGTGATGTGTACCATGGTCTGAAAGCACGAGTGGAGCTGGGTGAGGAAGGGTGGTTTGCCAGAGAGAGCGAGAACTCTCTTCTCCACCATAGTGCATTCCACATCATCATCCTGAATGACCACATCCTTCTTCAAGATCTTCACTGCATACAGCTCATCTGAGCCTTTACGCTCGGCGAGCATCACCTGTAGAAAGGCAGCGCAAAGGAGAACATGATTATTCTGATAATGACATGATAATTAAAATAATTTTGTCATTATTTATTCTTTAAATTGAAAAAGAAATGTACTAATTTATTGAGCGATTATGTATAATTGATTTTATGATATTAAAATTACATTATTTAAAGCCTACAAATGGCATTATGTTTTGTTAAATATTTCATATGGATTTAATTTATAAATAAATGACCTGTTAAAAATATCTTTTTCAATTATTTACTGATAAATGTGAGTAATAATGAGTGATTTTTTCAATTTCTGATTATTTAAAAATAACTTTTAGAGGACTTTTAAAAGTTTTTATGAATACTAACCATTTTTAAAGTCTCATATGGTCACCATAGTTGCCTTTATTTAATCAAAAATACAGTAAAACAGTAATATTTTGAAATATTTACAATTTTTGCTATTTTAAAATGTAATTTATTCCTATGATGGTAAAGCTGTATTTTTAGCATCATTACTCCAGTCTTCAGTGTCACATGATCCGTCAGAAATCATTCTAATATGCTGATTTGCTGCATTTTTTCTTATTTATGCAAGATTTCTTATTATCATCGATATTGAAAACAGTTTTGCTGCTTAATATCCTATTTATACATTTTTTAATATTTTTTAATGAATAGAAAGCTCAAAAGAATTTGAAATAGAAATCTTTTGTAACCTAATTTACTTAAAAAAAACTAACTTTTGAACTGCATTTAATCTCAAAACGTAACATGTTAGCTTTGGCAGACCTTACACTAACACTACTGTGTGTGTAAATGAGGATGTGTGCAAGAATGAATGGTGTGTCCAACCTTGCCAAAGCTGCCTTTGCCCAGCACCATGATGAAGTTGAAGTCTGAGAGCTTCATGCGGTCTTGGTTGCCATTGGTATCGTATTTGGAGATGTCATTCTTTGAAGAGCCATCTGTATTCTTAGTGCCAGGGCCAATCTTGGCTCTCTGGAGAGTTTAGAAAATGTCAATAAAAATCAGAAAGGGAAGAAAGATACAAGTAAAAAAAACGTGTGAATACAAATTAAAAGGGACGTGGATTTCACCTCAAATTTCTGCCGCAGTTCTTCATTGCCCTCCTCGCCGTCTGGTGGAACTGGAACGTTGAAATACTCCCCTTCCTCTTGGCCCAGCAACTTAAACCTACAATCCAAACAGATGAAGTGGATGGTCTCAATCCTCGAGCGCTGAGGTCTCCTGTGTAGGAGGTATCTGGTAGTGCTTACCATTCGTCGACACCTTGTTTCTGCAGCTCAGAGATGCCAAAAGACATCGACCCCATGAAGTCATTTCTGCTGGTCAGATCCCAATCCCACACCTCCACTGACAAACGCCTGTCTTTATCTGTATCTCTGAGGTTACTATAGTAACACGAAGATGGAAACAGACATTGAACATGTGAAACAAACATCCATATCCATTCCACACAAATGAATGCACTTGATTTATTTGCCACTCACAAGCTGAAGTGTTCGTCCCAGGTAGGATTGAGGGAGCACTTGATGGTTTTGGTCTTCTGCTTGCTCTCGCTCTTTGGGTCTGGAATTAATTTAAGCTTCACGTATGGATCTGACAGGCCGTTTGGATCCATTGGCACCAAGTTACGAGCTTCCTTGACTATAATATAAAATACAGAAAAATATCATTTGAAAACCAATGGATGAAGTATTATATGTACTTCAACTGTAGTATCTTCACGTGCAATTTGTATTTCAAAGTAGATAAGTGTTTTTTTTTTTGTATTATTTATATACTATTGAAATATTTATTAATATATTGAATTAGCTTTTATTTGTATATTTCAGTTTTAATTTTAAGTTTTATTCATTTTGTTGTGTGCGTTTGTCATTTTTTAGTAGTTTTTGTTGTTTGAAACATTTCTATGTAATGTAATACTATTCTATTTCTATTTCTATTTACTTAACTGAAAAAAACAAAACAAAAAAAAGTTTATAAATAAAACTAACATTACTAAAACTGAAATTTAAAGAAATTGTAGCTAAACAGAAATATTTAAAACCACAAAAACTAATAAAAAGCACATTAAATTACTACAACTTAAAAAGCTTGCCTTGTCAAATAATTGAAATAAAACAAAGTTAAAGGTTTCAAAAATATTTATATTTTATTTCATTTGATTTCAATTACTTCTTTTGGGGGGGGGTTCCTGTTTTTTGGTGTTTGTGCATTGCTAGGTGGATGCTAAGGGTTGTTTCTATGTGGCTGTTGTGGGGGTTACTATAATTGATTAATTCTAAAGAATCTGTAAGTTTGCTATAAATGAACAGCGAAGTGTATGAAACTTCTATCTATATACTCAGGCCTCTAAATGTATCTGTAGAGAGCTGATGGATGGGTGAGCTGGTGTGTGGGTGTGTGTGAATGGGATGTGGGGCAATCGTTGGTGGATTGATCTCATGTTTCCAGAGGATGCAGTTTCTGCCCAAGGCAAAAAGAGCTGAGAAAAACACAGACTCGTTTAGAACACTTTGTTGCCGAGCTGTGTGTTTTTAAATTGAGTGATAGAAGCATTTTTCCTGAAGACAAATTGTATTTTTTTAAATCAAATTTACCACACAAAGACCTAGAAATCCTCTTTAGCTAAGCCCAAAACATGCAAACATCACCATTATTGCAACATTTCCATTCAATACTCTTGTACTGGTTTGCATGCTTAGCTGAAATTTTCAGCTAGAAAAGCAGTTTGCTTTCTGCCCTGCTGATATATTATGTATCCCACAACAGCACTAACACGCACAATGAACACTGATGATATTTGCTTATAACATTACATATTCAAAACTAGCACAGCTGTGGGTTCTTTAGTTTCTGAACAAAGCCCTTCCTCACTTCTCCAGTCAAGTAAATTATTATCAGAGCATTTGTTTGAAAAAGCTACTGACCAATTATTAAAATGATTAAAATGTCACATTAAAATTCAGCGCATTGAGAATTTTTAGAAGTGTATCTCAATAAAACCTTTATCTATCCATGTCGGGACTAAATATCCACACACTGATAGTGTAGCTACACAGTAGTTTCAGGGGTTGTAAAATGTTTTGTCAATTAACCAATCCTGTTATTTATGTAGTACCATCTAAATGAACTGAACTGAATCAAGACCAATTATTTAATATTAATACCTAATTCTATTGTTTAAATCGCTCCTCTAAATAAAACCGGATTAAAGCATGCCAACTCTGCTGGAAACAAACCTCAGCTTAGATGGTTTGCAGGTCTAAATTGTTTTTAGCTGGTCCACAAATGAACAAGCTTGCATTTAGCTAGATTAGATGAGACCAGCTGGTTTCTTAGCCTGACGTTCTGACAGTAAAAAGTGACCAAAACTCCTCTAAAACCAGCTCAAAATCGGAAGTCGGTATGCTGTTTTTATGTTTTTGAAAAAGTCTCTTATGCTCAACAAAGATGCATTTATTTGATCAAAAATGCAAGAAAAATGTTTAAAGTGCCTGTCCTATTTTATAATATTTTGATGATAGGGCTAAACTGAACTTTCAGCAGCCATTACCCTCCATTATATCAGTGTCACATGATCCTTCAAAAATCATTCTAATATGCTGATTTGACTATCTTCATAAGCATGTGACATTGATCATTTTTTTTCTGAATGTTTTTTGATCAGTAGAAAGCTCAAAAGAACAGCATTTATTTGAAATAGAAAGCTTTTGTAACATTATAAATATCTTTACTGTCACGATTTACTGTATCATTTTGTGGGTGGTTATTATATGTGGCATGTGGTTACTAGGGTGTTCTGAATGGTTGTTACTGTAGGGTGTTCTGAACCACTAAATTGGCTTAATTTAAGAATTTAAGAGTCATTGAAATATCCCCACTATAATATTTATATATATATATATATATAAATTGTGCGTGTGTGTGTGTGTGGGAACTCACCAGTCACTGTGAGAACATTATTTGTGATACTAGCACTGATATGCAGCCGTCCTCTCCTCTCTGTGTGGTCTGTTCCACACAGGCTGGGAACATTCTCCACGCATCGTTTATGAATATTCATCATACAAGCTGCAGAAAACCACACATAATTAGATTGACAGCATTACACATGCAGGGTTTGTTTCTCACTCACTACTTACTAAGAAATGCCCACACAATCACCGCAGACACCAGGACGCACACCCACAGACACACAAAGATCACACCCACGCTAGCTAACATACAGAACACTAAATAGACAGCTGTATTTACACATGCACTGCACATAAAATGATTTAAACAACTGAACGATTCAAAAACAATTCATGTTTATATATGCCCAATCTGTATATGTTTATAGCAGTGCTATTTTTATTATATATAGAATATTTATACAAGCGTTCAGATTTTTATTGTCTTTTAATTCGATAAAAATACATAATTGTTAATAGATTTATAGTCTCATACAGAACATAACATAAACATTTTGCATTTCATGCATCATTTCCAAATGATCAAACAGATGAGCAGATCAAACAGTCTATTATGCAATGCATGATCATAACCAGCAGATGTCACTGTATGTGGGCTTTCATAGTTCAGTGTGTGCGCAGGTTCAGACTCACTGTCGCATTTCATCCCCTGGTGTATGAGCCCGTACAGTAGAGAACCACAGTGGTCACAGAATGTGGGGCTGGAGTATGTGTGTACCTTGAACCTATGCTTACTTCGAGGGTCCTATGACACAAAACACACACCGTTTCTTATCAAAATAAGAAAGCACCTCAACAGAAGAGTGAAATTACTAAACCTTAGGTTACAACAATAATGCAGAAGCAAACACAGATGCAGTCACAATGCAAGGTATAGCGGAAATATATAGTGCATATAGGTTTGAAATATATAGTAACATTATCAATAGATAAAAATAAAATATTATTAATATTTTTTCCTTCTCTCAAATCTTTATATGAATTGAGAAGTTCATGCCATGGTGTGAATTAATTCCTGTTTCAGTTCTTACTCCCACCTGAACATGTAAAACATCTGAAAGAACAGCTATATCTGCCTAAAATCACTGTTGCTTAAAATAATTTCATTACATACCGATTCATTTAATAGTGAAGGTGACAGTTATAAATACATTGTATCACAGCAAGTGCATTAGAAACAGATGTTACACCTACACCAACACAGTATCACTGAGATACTATAATGGTTTTTATTAATATTTTGAATATTAATATAAATTGATAATTTTTATATTTATATTTTCTATTTGTATTTGAACTTTAGTTAGAGTTTTAGTAATTTTGTTGTCATTTTTATTGGTTCTTGTTTTTATTCATTTTTATTTCAGATTTAGTTTTAGTTATTTTATTATATCAGGTTAGACTAAATGAAAATAAGAAAATTTGCATTGGCAGCTAGCTGAAATAAAATAAGTTTTTAAATATTTTATTTCAGTTAACGTTTATTTTATTTCAAGAAATGAAATGCTTTTATAGTTTTAGACTCGTTGAAAATGGCAGATAAAAAGGCATTGCAATTTCACAATTCATTCCACCTCAAGCACAAATTATATCCATTCAATTTATGAGAACATTTTACTAAGAATTCACATAAATCACCCATTTAATCCTATAGGAAGTTCAGCAAAACTTGAGCGACTGAGCAACAGTAACCAAGGAGGGCGGAGCTTGCGAAAGGTCAGCTGCACCCACATAACCGAAAAAGCAAGCACTGCAACTGATAGCAAGATATACAAGAGGGAATTTAAAAAACAATGAAGAGAATTCTGCAGCACTATATGAAATGTTATGATAAATTCCTACAGCTAGGGGGCGCCAATGTAGAGACCCAAAGAAATAATGTACTGCAAAGATTACTATAAAAATAATGCAGCTATATGAAGAAGCAGAATTTTGACTGTTGCTTTTCCTTTGTTTAAATAAGTGCAAAATGCAAATTTAACAAAAGCAAGTTAGTGGTCTAATTATTCAGCACCTTCTCTGTGTTCTTCAAGCTTCTGTAAAGGAGTCAACAGTGAAAGGGTCAAGAACCAAAGCTTTCCTACACATCTGCATCACACAACGGAGATGCAACAAATATCACTTGTGAAGTACAGTATCATTCACGGAAAACAAACATAATTGGCTGCAATGCAGAAACAAAGCACAACACAGGAAGTGCGCGTGTGCGTCTGCTTTTACACATATAGGGAGGAAGCGCGGTTATAAATAGAGATTAGAGAAGAGAAAACTGATGCCTCTTCCTGTTTGCATGTGAATATATAATGCAAACAAACACAAGAGGAACATGATTAGTGTTAGGCTTCATTAAACAGTACATAATCAGTTACCACTGAATAAATATTTAAACTGCTCACCAAGCAGTGTGCCTACATAAGTGTGAGTGTGTGTGTACTGCTTAGTCACAGGAAGAAGTTTCTTCAACTGAAAAGGAAGTGTATTTCACGATCAGAAAAGATGGCGCAAGAGAAGCCAGAAGGGGGGAGGATGAGGGGAGTTTTCTAGTGTATGTGTTCACAGGCTTTACTTACATCTGATGCGGGGCCCTTGTCGGCCCCGGGGCAGGAGAATGTAACAAACTCATGGCAGCGTTTGTGGACCACGAAACCACACACTGGGGGAGAAAAAAGAGAGAGAACTTCATTAGGACTTTTTTGAACATTTCCATCATTGTGCACAATATTGTACAGAAAGACAGCACAAGCACATTTTTAAGCCAAGTTTGTTAGGCTTTGAAGGTAAAACTATTGAGTAGACATCATGTTCATGTTCAGAATGAAGACAAAAATGTTCTGGTTGTCAAATGTTGATGTAGCAGGTTAATAGTTAGTAAATGTGATGAACTACACTGTTGGTTACTTGTTGCTCCATTAGTGCTGAGTAACCGGTGGCATAATACAATCACATTCAGACATATTTAAGTGCAGCTCAAGGGTCCAAATTCTTCTTGGAGTCACTGTTTATGATATTTAATTTTTTTATATTATATAAAAAATATTTTATTTTTTTATATAAGCTCGAGATGACATTTGTGCATTCTAGCTATTCACATCAATCAGTGTTGTTTCAGTATTTTTATATACTATTATAATATTTCTTAATGTTTTCAAATAACCCTAATTTTTATATTTTCAGTTTTCATATATTTCATAAATATTTTTACTATGGTAGGTTCATCATTTTTGTTTTTGTTTTTTTTGTTTTAATTGTAATAATTTTAATACATCAACTTAGTTATTTTATTTCAGTCTAATTAAGTTTAAACATGCATATATTTATATAAACATGCATGTAAATATTACATTTTAATATTTATATGTACTATAAGTCTAAATATTTATGCATTTTTTATTTCAATTAACTATGAAAGTTAACAGTAACACTGACATGAATCTAAGTAGTTTAAGATGTAAGTTTGTTTTTACTACGTTGTAATTTTTATAAAGTTTTCATTCATTTCTATTTTTTTTTGTTCTTTTTAAAGTTCTAATATTTATATATTTAAATATAAAAATATTTATAATTATATACATTTTTTAAAATTTCAAATCTATTCCAAACTGTAAAAGTAAACAATAACACCGACATGAATCTCAGTAGTTTGACAAGTATGTCACATTTGTTTATTTCTTCACAACACCCTGTAATGTAGGCCTAGGCCTTATTTGCATGTAAGCAAAAATGTAAAACTATCAAGCTGTCAACAAATAAAAGTCGCCATATGTGATTAAACTTCATCATGTACATGTCTTGTTGCTTCAGCTGCATTGTGAACTTGAGCCAAGCATTTTGTCTTCCGGCTTATGTTTGCATAATTGCCCAATTTGCCTGTTACTTGATCATAAACCTCACAACCTAAGGTTATAAAAGAATATGCCTCTGAAAATCTAATACTCTCTAAATCTTATAATAAATCACCAAAACCCCATATTCTCTGGTCAGTCCAAACAGGTTCATATTCGGCACAGTTATTGGTAGGGGTCAAAAAAGGGTGACATTTACACCTTAATCTCTGTATACAATGTTAAACTAGCATTAGGTCAAACTATGAATACATAACACAAGCTAAAAGAGTCCACATTTTGAAATAACCATGGAGTTCATGGAGGCCTAAAAGCACATTTTCTGTGCTGATTTCTGCAGAACATTTTTAAATATGTTAAACAAATCGGAAAACACAATCGGAATAATGCACATAATGATAAATGTACACATTGAATTCACTGCAAATCACTTCAAAATGTCTGTCAAATGAATGTAAATGTATAGGCATCAATAAAGAATTTATATTTATGATATAAACATTTTTACTAAGTTAATAATACTTTAATAGATAATGCTCTTTTTCAAAATATAGCATGGGACAGGATAAAAACAAAAAAAAAATGATTGAGGCTTTTTTTAATCTGCTCTTTTTATAATCGGTCTAACGGTGTGGCAATCAAAGTCTATAATCATAAACCGCTAATGATCATTTGCCAGCTAAGCCCTGATCAGCACTGAATGATGAAAACTGAACACTCCAAAATCCTGGTCTTAACAAGTATTTTTGTCTTATTTGTAAGGTTAAAATATCTAAAAATCCTTGAATCATGATCATTTTACTTGAGAAGCAAAACAGCATAAGATATTTAGCATATCTTTAAAACAAGACTGAGTATTTTCCAATATATTTTACACATAAACTAGTTAAAGATAAGTGAACAAATCTGACAGTGCAGTAAAACAAAATACACTTGTCAACAAGTCTAAAAATCATTTGCAGAGTCACTTCAATTAAATGTGTCTTGTTTTGGACGTTTTTTTTTTTCCTGAAAAACAAGACAAAAAGTCTAATTATTAAGAAGTATGCAGAAAACACAGCTTACAAGGGGTAGTTTTGGAGGTACAAGGAGTCCAGCTTGTAGACATTATTATTTTTTTTTTTGCAGGTGTCAAAGATCAGATTATTTGAATAGATATGATGGCTGACTACTTACCTGTCAAGAACATGCCCAGTCATAATTTACAAAAAAAAAAAAAAAAAAAAAAAAACTTTACAATAAGGATCCATTTGTTATCATTGGTTAACTACATTAGTTAACATGAACGAACGATATAAAATACTTCAAGCATTAATTATTCTTAGTTCATTTTAACAATATTAAAATCAAAAGTTGAATCTGTCTATATTATTTAATAGACTTCAGCTTGTATTTTTATTAACTAACATTAACTAACAAAGATTAATAATACAAACTGTAACAAATGTATTGTGCATAGTTAGTGAGTTAGTTATTGCTCATAGTGTTGTTGTATATATATATCTTGCTTATGTTAATTAAGCATACTTTTCAGCAAAATGAATTGTAAATGTTACTGACAAATAAAACTGGCCTGACAACCATAAAGAAAGAAGCAACAATCAGAAAAACACACACAAAACATCACAGAACTTCAGACTTTAATCACTGGGAACTAGCATTTATTATTAACCAGACTATTAAATATGTATTGTTTGACTAATTATTTATGAGGTTGATAACCCAAAGGCAACTGTTGCGATCTGTGATTTAGCCGCAAGCCTGTTTCACAAAAATGCTATTTCTGTCCATTTCGCACACACATGTAGTGTACATTTTAGCCTTCTGAATACCTGGGTGAACTTGACAGGCCAGGTAAACATCAATACGGGGTAGAGGTGAGGGAAGGAACCACAGTCTGGTATGCACTCACATTCCAGCCACAGGAATGCATGCATAGTTACATAAAGGAGGCGGCAGGGACGGTTGAGTCACAGTGGTCAGACTGAAGCTAAAGGATCTCCACTTCACATGTAAACAGCCTATTCTACTCGGCACACACTTCCCCTTTTCTAGAGAAGCATTCCAGGACATTCCCTCTTTAATCTGTCAGTTGTTGCCTAGCAACAAGACCTAAGTGTCAAGTTTATCGTCTCCCTTAGTTTAACTCTTGACAATATCACAATTACACACATGTAGAGGAGAGTGGGGTAAGATGTGTGACTTCCTTAATCTAGCAAACTGTATACAATTTTTGCCATGTGATTATATACACTGCCATTGGTAAGATCTTTTTAATGTATTTGAAATAAGTATCTTATGCTCACCAAGGCTGGATTTATTTGATAAAAATACAGTAAAAACAGTAATATTTTGAAATATTATTAATAACTTCTCTATTTCATTACATTTTAATGTGTAATTTATAAAGGTCGACCGATAGTGGATTTTGCCGATACCGATAGCTAGGTTGGACCACACTGGCCGATACCGATTAATTAACCGATTGTTTTAAAATTGATACTGAACAAAAACTAAAATAGTGCTTTATTAACAAAAACAGTACTGAACCATACTAGTAGTAGTAGTAAAAATAATAATAATAGTAATAGTAAATGTTGAAATTAACACCCTCTAACAAGGAACAATACTTACACAGCTTTCATTAATCTTAATGCTACAAATGGACTCTTATTTTAAAGTGTTGCCACTTAATTTCAACTGTCATGCTTAAAGATGCACATCTTTAAATATATACACAAAGGCTATAGCATTAAAATTATATGGATATTGTATACTTTCACACTTTAACTGCTTCTATTCTTGAACACTTGATTATCTAATCATCAAAATAAAAGCGCAGCGCTGAGTCTAGGAGAACTCACCGGTATCACACACACTCCGGACGCGTCGCGTTCAACTCGAGCAGCGGTCTAAAACAGTTTATTTAATCACCAAACGGACTAATATAATGTAATTTAATGGAAAACTATGTGAATGGCGCTCTGTGGCGCGGCAGGATTTTCTGTCGGTTGCATTTAAATCCGTGTCTGAAGTTTCCCGCTCCGTTCAGCGTGTACGTGTCTAAACAAATAGCACGTGCTGTCAGTGATTTCAACCACTAGAGGCAGCTCTCACACTGTGTAATGACAGCAGACCCTTCTATAACTCTCATCGGCATAAGAGACAAACTCACTCTCAGTGTCTTTTAAAGGTTTTATTCTTTGCAAAGAAGGTCAAACACCATACAGGATACAAGTCGCTGCAGAGTGTGACAAGGAAGGGAGGGCAAAGCCTCCCCTTTATATCTCTTTTCCAAGTCAAGGTTACAAACTCTTTTAACAGCTGTATTTTCCATACATGGTAATAAAGTCAAAAACACACTTACTATATTTACTATATCAAGTTTGTTCCCCCTTGTTTTTAGGGTCTAGATGACCCCCTAGGTCACGAGTCTCCCAGTTCTCCCAGTTGCAGCCCATTATGGGATTTTCTTGTCACCCATGTCTTATGTCGAGCCCTAAACCCGTCTCTTCTCGTGACTACACAACAGTTCTAAGTAAACACATGCACTATATAATTTTCCCATAAGCACGCAAGAAAATGCAAAGGTCAATGGAAACGAATTTTTCCACCACAATTCCCCCTTTTTATCATCCATTGATAACTAATAAAACAAAAATTCATTACCATGTATATACTCTTACTAAGATTAAATGTAATAAACTCAGAATAATAATAAAGCAAATTTAAGCTTTCACATCACATTTATACCCTTCATCTCTGATTTTTGTATAAATGATCACTCTCTTAAATTCGTGAAAGAAGTCAG